CCCCCTTCCCCAGTGGTCGCGCGGTCGTCAATGGCATGAGAAGCTACCATTAAACATATAGCAAGTTGAACAACTGTAACTTTTCAGGTGGGAATAGATGCATCGGAGGGCGAAGACGACGATGAGTACAGTCAATACTAATGTTGTCAGTTAGAATGGGACATCGGTAATAAAGAGGATATTTTGAAGATATTCATTCCGCAATAAATCTTCTTGACAAGAAACATCACAATACAATATTAGAATATAAAAAAAGGTTCTTACGACCGTAGCGAAACACCAGCATCGATGGAGCAATAAGTAGACCCGATAAAGTATTTTTCTTAGTGGTGTTATGAAACTTGGTAGAGGCAAGAATGCTTTTGATTAGAAAAGTTTCGAAAACAAAAATCTTGAAATCAGAAGAGGCAAAGAAGCACTACTTAACTACTTTAATCAAACACAACGGGATCATTGAAGCTATCATCACTATTATCCTCATTCTCTGAATCTTCTACGATAAATAACCCATCATCCTCTTCATCAGTTTCTTGCGAAGATTGTAAAAGCAAGCCAACATTATTGCGTTCCCTTAATACTCAATAAATTAAGTGATCTGTCAAACAAACTAGTCTCCATACCTTAACTGTGCCATACGGTATGCCGCATCGAGTGCTGAAAGTTTGTGATCCCAAAGGGACCTATCAGTTTCCCAGGTAAAGTTCCACGGCCTAGCGAGGTAACTAACTAGCCTATATTGGCTTCCCGTGAGTGTTGACTTCGTTAAGAATAGATAAGGAACGTCTCTGAAATTAAGAAAGTGTAAAGTCGATAATTCCCATTCAATTTCAAAAAAAATGAATCAAGTACAGAATTATTAAACAAATATAACAAAAATCGATTAGTAAAATATCCGAGCAGTAATAAAAGACCATAGAATATGATGTTCCAATTAAAGCGTAGACTCACATTTCACCAAAATGTAAGTCAGATGATCCAGAAGACTTCATTACGTCGTTTAACTCTTCCCTGAGAGACTGTGTTTGGGTATATAACCGGAACCATTTCGGGCGAATATACTTGTAGAATCCACGAGCAATTCCTCAAGAGAAAAAATGGTGGTCAAGTGATGGAAAAAGTCTATCGGTATCCATACTTACTATTAGCCTTATAATTGTAAAACATTGTAGCACGAGCGCATACCTGGAAAGTTTAATTTGGGGATGGTGAATCTTGGAGGACTCAATTGAATCACCTGGGACACTAAATCTTGGGCGAGTGTGCGCGTTTCCCAATATGTAGAAATTGAGTCACAAAACGACATCGCATCGAATACCTTCCTGGTGGCCTTGACAGAACCAGCAAAATTGGGTTCATGCTCATGTAGGAACATCATGACCTAGATTAGTCACATTTGCGGCTTTTGCAAAAAAA